TATGGGCGGAGGGATGCGGCGAGATACGATTCGCGAGTGTCACGGTCGCACGTCGGCCGAAGGCATCTTTCTTTCCGCTGCCGCTTTCTGTACGCTGATTTGTTGAGACAAAATAATTAATTTCTCAAAAACTATTGCGAATATCGCAAAACGGCACAGGACTTTCTTGCTCACCTCAATCCGTTCTACGTTCTCACCAAGGGTCATCATGGGACTTTGGGACACCCTGTATATGTAATAACACTCCCTTTTAAATAAAAAATTATAATATTGATGTAGAGTTACTGTGTTTGTTGATGTTTCTCAGATAGTAAGATAAATTGTTTAAATGGTTTTAATATTAAAATATAAAGTTTTCTCCTTTCTGACGTCACTTTGAGCACAGATTGCTATGAAAATAGTATGTACAAATAATATCATGTGTCTTATGAGTACCTTGTTTTCTCCAAACTGGATAACTTTTATTTAAAAAGTATTATAAAAACTCAGGAATTCTCCTTTTATTTATATTTCTTTCTTTCTTTTTTCCTTTTCCTTTATTTTCGGTATTCATACAGTACATGATACATTTGAACGTACTATTTTCATAGCAATCTGTACTCAAGTTGACATCAGAAAGGAGAAAACTTTAGGAACAATTAATAAATTCATTGTGTTTACATTTACAAGCACTAACGCTATATATATATATATATATTTATTTATTTATACAATTGATGTAACATTACTTTCAAAATTAAAATTACACATGTTAATTGAATATTAATATACTTATTAATTGTGTATTTTAATTTAATTTAATTTTTTATTTACTTTTATTTATTATTTTTTATTTTTTATTGTTTTTATTAGTTAAATAGTGCGCGCCTATATTGTATTAGTAAATTAAATAGACTCTATATAGACGTCGAGATATAAATAAATAATAAAATAAAATAATAAAGAATAAAATAAATAATAAATAATAAGAAAGAGGGAGAGAGAGAGAGACAGAAAGACAGAGAGAGAGAGGGGGAGGAATGGAGGGAGGGAGGAAGCGAGGGAGAGAGAAAGTAAATATCTCTGTCTCTGACTAAAATATATAACAATGTAGAACGTGAATACTTTGTGTCGTTTTTATTTTTTATAGCTAAATTAAATAATAAGGAGATAAAACAAGATGAAAAAGAAAAGGAGAAGAAAATAAAGAGAGAAAGGAGAGAATGTGTGAGAAAAAATGAAGAGGAGGCAGAAAAATGAAGATAAATTATAAGGGTGTATATCAGTTGGACACGGGGCAATTGGACACAGTCCAATCACAAGTCGCTGTTCCAAGGGACCCTACAAATGTCTCTAATCACACGGTGCTGTGATTGGCTGTGTCCAAATGCACCGTGTCCAAGTGCACCGCTCCCAAATTATAAGACGGTAAAAACCATAAGAGAGCGAGATGGAAAGACAAGAAGAATATATGAGTGAGTAAAAATAAATAAATAAAAGCATATATAATAAATAAGTAAATAAATACACTTTTTTTGTATACTGCGATAATAAGTAATAAATAAGTATTGCTTTACATAATATAAAATAATTTATAAGATATACAGAACTGGGATATTCTCTATGTTATTTGTATTTTTATTATTTTTAAACAAGGCCAGAAGAAAGGAAGAAAGAAAAAAGTACAGAAAACGAGAAGAAAAAGAGAAACTATTATATAAGGAAATAAGGAAAGAGAGAGAGAGAGAGAGAAGAAATTACACAGATATGGAACAAAAAATGGAATCAAAGCAAGAAGATAGAAAATAGAGACATGCAAGATAGTAAAATAGGAAAAGTTACTTTAAAAGTAATTCATTCACGTTTACTTTTTAAAAGTAATTCATTATTATCACTCGTTATTCAAAAAAATACGTTGTTACCCAGTGAGGAATGATTGATCGAAAAGATGTCGATTTGATGTCGAAATGATCAATTCTCATCGACATGCTGCAGTACATCGAAAATTGTCCATATTTCGATGATTTTTCGATGTGTTGCATTTATAATAGCATGTATTAGGACCTTAACTTAGTTTCCGCCCGCAAATGTTAGATGGCAATGCAAACAGTTCTAGTAGTCATTACTAACGAAACAGGTAGTTTGTGATTAATTTCGACATTTCTCGATAACATTCAGTCAGCATACACAATTATTTTCCTAAACAACAATTTCTTTTGCTTTGTGAAAAATGGAACGCGATAAAGTGTTTTTTCGACATGTGCTTTTGCACTATTTTGATTTGAAAAAA